CTGGAACTGTGGCTGACGCTCTTCCCACATTCCAAGCACTTGTAGGGCTTCTCCCTAGTGTGGATGCTCTGGTGGCGAACCAGTTCAGATCTGTGGTTGAAGCTCTTCCTGCATTCCAAGCACTTGTAAGTCTTCTCCACAGTATGGATGTTCTGGTGGCTGATCAGGTTGGAGCTCTTTCTGAAGCTCTTCCCACATTCCAAGCACTTGTAGGGCCGTTTTCCCCTGTGGATCATCTGGTGGCGGATCAGGTTGCAATTGTGACTGAAATTCTTCCCACATTCCAAGCACCTGAAGGGCTTCTCCCTGCTGGGAGGCTGCTCAGGGACCACTAGGTCAGAGCTCTGGCTCAAGCTCCAGCCGCCTTCCTGGCACAGGCTGGGTCTTTCCTCCTGGGAGCACCCTGGGCTGGGTTTGGAGCCCCTCCTTGTTGGGTATCTCTGTGGCTTTTCCTCCCCAGTGACTTCCTGTGCCATGGAGCCATTCAAAACAGACTCTCCCACCAGGCTCTGCTGGAGGGATTTGTCCTCCGTGCTCTCCGTCCTCAGTTCGGGGCCTGGGGCAGGAAGGAAGAAGGACAGGGAGGGGATTTGCCTCCGGCCCAGAGGGAAGGTCAGGGACATCCCCCCAACTCCAGCCCCGGCAGGACGGCGATGGCAGTGGGGTTGTCCTGCAGCCGGGACCATGCTCAGCTGGGAGATGCAGAACAAGGCAAAGGGGCACTGACTTCCTCCTCACCTGCCTGGGTGTCCTGGGGCATCTTCCTCACAGCCTCCTCCTCCATCCAGCCAAGGTTTGGGAATCAGAAATCCTGTTTTGGTGGGAAAAAACCCAAAACAGGTTTTGGGTGTGAGCACGTTGGGTTGGGGATTCCTCCTGGAATGGTATCCATAAACCACTCCAAAACATGAAGATTCAGCCCCAAAAAACCCTCCCAGGAGTTCCCCCTCTCTAGTCTCTCCACTTTGGGGTTCTGGGGGTCCCCCTGTCCAGGCTGCTCGTGGTGCCATGTGTATTGGGGGTCACCCTTCTCCGGGATCTCTGCCCCCTCCAGGCTGCCAGTGGCCTTGGAATCCCAGGAGTGTCTCCTCTCCAGACTCCTCACTTTGGGGTCCTGGAGTTCCTCCCACTCCATGGTCCTGCTTAGGGATGCTGGGGGCTTTGGGGGTCAAGGGGTCCATTCTCCCTTCGCTCTCTGATTCTGGGTGCTGGATTCCCAGGGGTTCCCCCTCTCCTGGGTCTCACCCTCTCCAGGTTGCTGGGGTTCCTCTCTCTCCAGGCTCCAGTTTCAGTATCCCAGAGGTCCCCTCCTCCAGAGTTTCTCCTCTCCTGGATGCCACATGTCCCAGGGTTCTCCTATCTCTGTTCTCCCCCCCTCCCCAGGCTGCTGGGGCTCACCCAGCTCCAGTGTCACCCCTCTCCACTCTCCCCACTCTGGGGGTCCCGGGGTTCCCCACCTGGGTCTGCTGGAGGTCCCCAAAACTGGTGGACCCCCCCTGAGATGGGACACGTGGCTCCTGCCTGCTGGCACCTGCTAGGGACCCCCACCAAAAAAACCCACCTGCTGGGGACCCCCCAGTATCTCCCCAAGGGGCATTTGCAGTTCATTTTGGCATCTTTAAGCTGCAAACACCCCCTCCCCCCAAAAACCCAACGTGGACCCCCCAAGATATCTGGAGTGAGCTCCCCCTCCCCAGTCATCTGTGGAATGCAGGTGGGGCTATGTTTCCAGGGTGGGAGGAACTGTGATGGTTGTTCCTCCTCTTCCTCCTTTTCCTGCTCCCCCACTTCCTCTATTCTTCCTCTTCCTCCTGCTCCTCCTCTTCCTGCTCCTCCTCCTCCATCCCTCCTCCACCTCCTTCTCCTACCTCCACCCCTTCTCCCACTCCTTTCTGCATCCCTCCTCTTCCTCCCCCAGGCCCAGCACCCACCCTTGGTCCTCCCTTCCCCCCAAACCCATCACATCCTGCGGGAGGAGCAGCGACGGAGCTGGGGCAGGTCGGGATGGGGCAGCGCTGGGCTCTTGGCTGCTTCCACCCCCTGAGGGGGATCCCAGGAAGGGCAAAAGAACAGGAAAAGGGGCAAAAGTGGTGACTGGAGATAAAAATTTGGGAGTTATGGTCCCCCCGGGTGGTCACTTCCAGCCTTTTGGGCTCATCTCAGGAGCCTGGAGATCTTGGAGGGGGGCATGCAGAGATGGATGGGGGATCCCAAGAGATTTTGGGAACAGCATGAGGGGTTGTGGGAGCCCCTTGCTGGGGGGTCGGGCTGGAGACCCCCTGGTGCTCCCGGAGCCCTCGGCTGGGGAGTTGTCACCACCTTCTCCTGCCTGGGAGGGCTCTGGGGGGACCTCGGCTCCTTGGGCTCTTCCTGCAGCCACAGAGCTTGGAGGGACCCTCCTTGAGATGGGTCCTCCAGGTGTTCCAGGAGCTTTGGGCTCATCCTGGGAGTGACTGGGCTACACTGGGAGTGACTGGAAGGGACTGGGATAATACAGAGAGTGTCTGTAACCATACTGGGAATGACTAGGACCACACTGGGAGCAACTGGGAGCAAGTAGGAGTGACTGGATCTATACTGAGGGCAACTGGGTGTGACTGGGTGTGGCACGAGAGCCGACCCCTGATAAAACCTAAAATCCAATCAGAGAATGCACACAATGCAAGCCATCAGCTGCTGGTGCCACAGTGTTGCCTTGGTGTTATTGTGCTAAAACCATCCTGGGTCACCAGACATCGAGTCAGATCAGCTGCTCGAGGGGCTGTAAAGGTGGGACTGGCAGTCAATCACTTTATACTATACAAGTCCAGTCCCCTCTCATACAGTCAGGTTCTTCTGACATAATCCTCCCTGGGGTGTAGGTGTGGAGATTCCTCCCTTGGCTGGGGACACCTCCAAGGTCACTCCTGCAGGTTGAGAGCAGAGATCTCCCCAGAAGTGTTGGTCTGGGTGAGTTACATCCATCTCTAATTAATAATTATTTCCTTTTTGCAGGCTTTAATATAATTGCTTCTGGCTGGGAGTCCCCCGGGAGTCCCCCCCCAGCGCAGGTGAGTGGTGGGTCCCGGGCTGGCTGCGTGTGTGTGGCGGGGTCCTGGGCTGGCTGGGAGTCCCCCGGGAGTCCCCCCCGGCACCGCGGTTCAGGCCCCAGGCACGGCCAGGACAGGAGAGGGGAGAGAGAGAGTGGGGGAGCCTTGCCGGCAGTTGCTGCACGCCCGTGGAGGAGGAGAGAGCAGCTTCGGAGCACACAGAGGTTTGTTCCAGGTTTGGGGGGGAAGGGGAGGGGGGGTACAGAGGATGGGAGGGGGGATACAGGGGAGTGGGGGTGGGGGAAGAGAGGGGAGGGGTATCGAGTGGGCCATGGGGGTCCTCTGATTGGCGGGAGGGAGAGCGGGGCACTCCTGTATGAAGTGTCACAGGTGAACAGTGCGCCTGAAGATATGTGGTAACACAGTGGAGGAAGGATATGGTCAGGGTGGATAGTGGGGTTCCTTTAGAGTGATGGGGGTCCCAGCCAAGCTGGGGCCTTGAAAGGCACCCCAGCCTTGGATGTGTACGGGGGCCAGAACGGTTGGTCGGTTTGTTTGTCTGTTTGGCTTTGGCTCACCTGCGGCTACTGCCCAGGTTCGGCATGTTCTGGGTATATTTGCTTTGCTCTGTTACGTCCTGAAAGGGTGGGCAGGACAAAGGGTTGTTCCTATGATTGTATATAACTAGGTGATAGTAAAGTAGGAAATGTAAGACTTGCCCAAACCGTTCTAACAGGAACGTAGCCTGTGTGTCCCTGTGTGGTTGTGAGCTATGCTGGCGATGGTACACGCCTTCGGTAGGGTCGCCCGTGCCAGACAGGTCAAAACAGCAGGGTCAGACAGAATACATCTGTGGGCAGGATGAGCTCGTTAGCCTTCTGGCAGTCATCCTAGGAGAAGGACAACTCTAATCCCAAACCTGGGCAGATGGCGCTCGCTTAGCCCCGTAAGGCCATCCATCTAAGAGAAGGTCACTCTAATCAAACCTACGTCCTGAGGACCTTGCTGCCACCGTCCAAGCTCGCTCGGCCCTGGCAGATGAACCTCAGGATTAAAGGGTGGGTTCAGTTCCGCACATACTGCGTCTCACCTAAAAATCCATTGCGCAGGCTCGAAGGCCTTACCCATGTGCAAAAAGTCGAGGGTTGAAACAGCAGGTGAAAGGTGCACTGGAAGCTGCAGACCCAACCCTGCATGCAGGCGGTTCAGGATATTGGTCATTTGAGACTGACCGGAGAGGACAGTCTCTTGGGGCAGCACCCTGAACGACCAAGCAGCCTTTTCAAGGACAGCACTGCTTGCTCCACTCGGAGAGGGGCCTAGAAAAGGTGGCCTAACCAAAGCTCATCTCCACTTTCACCCGGTTGGTTTTAACCGCAGACCAACGGGCATCTTCTTCCAATGTGGTCGCACAAAGATCAAAAGACAAAGGCACACACCTGCCTCCAAAGGTATACCTAAATTAACTCTAGCACGTTGGAACATCAGAACCATGCTTGATTCTGTGGATAGTGGACGTCCTGAGCGACGTTCTGCCCTAATTGCCCATGAACTGGCTCGTCTCAACATCGACATTGCTGCTCTCAGTGAAGTTCGCCTTCACGAGGAAGGAAGCCTCAGAGAACATGGTGCTGGTTACACACTCTTTTGGTCAGGTAAGCCCAGAACCGAAAAACATCTCTCAGGAGTCGGCTTCATGATCAAAAACTCTATTCTTCCCAAACTCGAAAATCTGCCGACAGGTCACTCTGACCTCATTATCTCCCTACGCCTTCCACTCCACAACAAACAACACGTTGTCCTCTTTAGTATATATGCCCCAACTCTCCAAGCTGACCCTGCCGAAAAAGATAAATTTTACGCTGACCTGTGCTGCCTTACCCAAAAGGTGGCTGCAGATGATAAGATCATTATCCTTGGTGATTTCAACGCCAGAGTAGGTAAGAATTTTGAAGCCTGGAAAGGAATATTAGGCAAGCATGGTGTTGGAAACTGCAACGATAATGGTCGACTCCTGCTAGAATTCTGTGCAGAGCAACAGTTCACCATCACTATCTTCCAGCAGAAAAATAGTCTGAAGACAATCTGGATGCACCCCAGATCTAAGCATTGGCACCTCACTGATTATGTCTTGGTGCAACGGAGAGATGCCCGCGATGTCCTCCATACCCGCGTGATGCCCAGCGCAGAATGCCAAACAGACCATCGGCTTGTGCGCTGCAAACTCAACTTCAGTCTCACATCCAAACCTAAAAGGGGTAGTATCCCAAGGAGAAGACTCCAAGTTAACAATCTCCAATCAGCCACAGTAAGAGACAGATTCCAGGCAAACCTTCAAACTAGGCTCGAAAACCATTCCACAGATTCTGCAGATTCCTCCCCTGAATCAACTTGGCACCTTATTAAAAACAGTATCCTGCAATCCTCTGAGGAATCCTTAAGGTTCTCCCTCAAGAAGAACAAGGACAGGTTTGACGAAAACAATCAAGAGATCCAGGACTTGTTGAGGAAGAAGAGAACTGCTCACCAAGCACACCTTGCACTGCCATCCTGTCACGCAAGAAAAACAGCCTTTCATCTTGCGTGCAGCAAGCTCCAACAGAAACTCCGTGACATCCAGAACAAGTGGTGGGTCGATCTAGCTGAAGAAACTCAATTATGTGCAGATACGGGTGATCACAGAGGATTCTATGAGGCCCTGAAAACAGCATACGGGCCTACAGACCAGGTCCAAAGCCCTCTACTCAGTGCTGATGGGCAAACGCTTCTGACAGATAAAACC